GATTTGAACTGCCAGCCTTTTGGTTAGCAGCTGAGCTCTTAACCACTATGCCACCAGGGTTTCCGGAGTGCAGTATGGAGCCCCTCAATTTGTACTAGTACCAGGACCAGTGGAAAGCTGAGTGGGCTATCTTGTGAATTATGCTTTCTTGGCAAAGGTTATTCCCTTTAGGGCTCCAGAGTGAATTCAGGGCGGTAGGGACATCTATGTTCCCTGCTCCTGTTGGATATTTCTGTGGGATTTACAGGGAATCATTAGTGTGTGGCGAGGAAGGCATGGTGTAAATGGAGATGTACTTTGTCCTCTGCAGAACTTCTTTTAACCCGTTCCTGCCAGCTCTGAGACAGAGTTGCTTGTTTCACCTTAAGAGATTTCTTCCCGTTTGATCACAATAAATTAGGTAATGGGAGAAAAGCAGGAGGCTTATTGAGGGATGGACCAGGAGGCGGAGACTCAAAAAAGGAGAAAAATTTAGGGAAGTTGGCAATTTGAAAAATTGTTCTTCTAATGCCCAGAAACCACCCAGCCTTTCATCATCACGCATCCCCAACACACACCACATCTCTTGTCTCTGCAGGTGCTCTTGATGATTTCGATAAGGCCAAACCTTCTGCAGCAACCCCTCCTACCACCATGGCTCCTGATGCTTCGGGGCCCCAGAAGAGATCAGCAGGAAACACTGCCAAAGTAATAAATTACACCCAATTAAGGGGGGTGGTGGGCATGCAGGTCTGAGCGGAGGTGGGACAGGCCCCTGTGGGCCAGAGGGGAGTGGGGGAAGGGTGCCTTGGCCTCACATTGTTGAGTGCTCCTTCAGGTCTCAGTCCTTGTAAAACAGGGACTTGAGCTTGAGGTTGAGTGGAGGGATCTCAAGGAAGTTCCTTAAGAAAAGCAGGTTTAAGTGTTTAGATTGGTATGTCATTCTATACCCTTCTCTCAGTGGCTAGATGCCTTTCTTGATGTCTTTATCAGGAGAGGTAGCTAGAACTTCCAGTGGAGGTGGGTCAGAGGGAGGCACTGCATTTCCCAAAGCCACTGCCCTTGGCTTCTCCCACAGGCCGGGTGCAGTGAAGTGCCAAGTAAGCGACACATTTTGTCCAACCTCTCCTGCAGGATGCCCTCTTTGCCTCCCAAGAGAAGTTTTTCCAGGAACTGTTCGACAGCGAGTTGGCTTCTCAAGCCACTGCAGAGTTTGAGAAGGCAATGAAGGAGTTGGCTGAGGAAGAGCCCCACCTGGTGGAACAGTTCCAAAAGCTCTCAGAAGCCGCCGGGAGAGTGGGTGAGGAGGGGACCCCAGACAGCTGAAAATATGTGAAGTCACTGTTGCTTGAGAACACCAGAATTCTTATTAAGGTTGATAGCAGTCACAATGTCACGGTTGTAGGGCAGGGTAAGGATAGGAGATGGGAGGAGAAATGGGAATCCTGCTTAATGAAAGGGATGAGATAGGTTGGAAAATAATAGAAAAGATTATTGAAAAGTGAGCATTTTAAAGGTTGCATTGTTTTTTTGCGTATGATCATGGAGAATAAACTGACAAATGGTCCATACAGATTTAGAAAATGACTGTGAAGATAACCATAGATTTTAAAGATTTGGAGGATGATTCACCAGTAAATGCTTGTTCCACATCCAAGCTGATAACTAGGAGTGTCTAGCCAAGCAGACTGTTAAAATCCCAAATGACCCTGGCTCTTTGATCTGTCCTAGGCAGTGATGCGTCCTCCCAACAAGAATTCACTTCTTGCCTAAAGGAGACACTAAGTGGACTAGCCAAAAATGCCACTGACCTTCAGGTGAGGGAGTAGGGGTGGGGGACCACATGGGGCCCACTCCCAGACACCTTCACCAGCAGAGTCTCAAAAGACAGAAACTCTTGGGTATCATCCCGAGTCTGTCCCTGCCTCACTGTTTTGAAACAGGCAAGTTTAAATTGTTCTTCTCTGGGCTTCTGCTTTCCCAGCTGAAAGGGTGGTAGGCCATCCCAAGAAGGCAGTATGCTCACCTTTTCTCCTGTCCTTTCTAGAACTCGGGCATGTCGGAGGAGGAGCTGAACAAGGCCATGGAGGGGCTGGGCATGGATGAAGGGGATGGGGAAGGGAACATCCTCCCCATCATGCAGAGTATCATGCAGAACCTACTTTCTAAGGATGTGCTGTACCCATCACTGAAGGAGATCACAGAAAAGGTTTGTGAGCCTCTGTTCTGCCTTTCCTCCTCGCTGGACGTTGTATCAACTCGCATGGGCTACTTTGTGTGCTCAAGGCCTGTACAGATAGAGCAGCTTGAACTCACAAGTCCCTCTGGTTTTTTTTTTTTTTTTTTTTTGTCCTTTACTTCTTTGGGATGTGTAGGGCTGGGGGAGTTATGTCTCTGAGAGGTCAAAGTTACCACGCCGAGGATCTCTGAGGTAAGAGGAAATCTCTCAGCTCTAATTTTCTGTCGAATGGTTCAGGACTCTGGGTCATAGTCTGATCGACCCCTTCTTATGTTTCTGTCTTTGTTTATTTCTCCAACAGTGATTCACTGTGGTTATACCGCATAGGTTCTCAGCACTGGCTTTGTGCCATAAGCAATTTAAGAAGAGTTTAAATGATGGTCCCTGTAGTCAAAGAGCTTATAGTTTTACTGGAGATAAAATATAGGCCTAGACGTTTTTTAGTGACACAGGGCAACATGTGGTTAAGTGCAAAATGAGTAGTATAGACCAGGAGCTGGCAAACCAAGCTAAGAAAGGTTTTTACGTTTTTAAGGTTGTAAAAAAAAAACAAACAAAGAAGAGTATGTGACAGAGACCATATGTGACCCACAAAGCCTACCATTTGGTCCTTCACATAAAAAGTTTGCCAAACTCTAGTGTAGACCACAAATGCTAACACTGGCATAGCCCGGTGGCCTGGTTGGAGTCAGTGCTGCCTCTCACACTGAACTTGCTTGTTTCACTCTTTCCTCCTGTGTCCCCCTCCCCTCTGTATTTTAAGTATTGTTCTCATTGCCCTTCTCTATTCATTGTTCACTTAATTCTTAACCACCCACTCTCCTTTTTCTCAGTATCCAGAATGGTTGCAGAGTCACCGGGAATCTCTGCCTCCAGAGCAGTTTGAAAAATATCAGGAGCAACACAGTGTCATGGGCAAGATATGTGAGCAGTTTGAGGCAGAGACCCCCACAGACAGTGAGGACACTCAAAAGGCTCGTTTTGAGATGGTGCTGGATCTCATGCAGCAGGTAAGGCCTTCTTTTTCCACCTGCCTTCTGGTGCTGTTCGCTTGAGTGTTCAGTGGAGGAGGTATCTAGGAAGGATGCCACACTGTCACAGCTGGGGGGAAGAGGAGCACAAGAGAGGCCACATAGCATGGTCCTCAGGAGAAAGCCCAGAGATCATAGCTCTGGTTCCTCTTCTGGGCCACTGTCTTGTTTTCCGGATTCTTCCCTATCTCATGTTACGCTTTCCTTACTTTCCAGCTACAGGACTTGGGTCATCCCCCAAAAGAGCTGGCTGGGGAGATGGTGAGTATGTTTTCTCCCCCTAGATTTTAATCAGATCCCCAGTTTCCAGAATTCTGTAACCTTTAGCAATTGCATCTAAGGTGATAACTGTGGCTATTGGGGATGGACCTTCAGAAGGTCTGACCCGAGATACGAGCAGTTATCTGAGTCCCTTCATCTCTTCTCCAGCCTCCTGGCCTCAACTTTGACCTGGATGCCCTCAATCTGTCGGGCCCACCAGGTGCCAGTGGTGAACAGTGTCTGATCATGTGAAACACCACACGTTTTCCTCCCTGATTCCCAGCCACGGGGAACATCTGGAGTCAGCAGAACCATTGGGAGCTGAGGCAGGAGCGTCGTCTGCAGGAGCGATCTGCCCACTGCCCTCTGCCATCCCACCCAAGACTGTGCCATACCAGCTGAGGCTTTTTTTCTGTCTTTCTAGAATAAGGCCTATTCCACAGGCCATTTCTGTTAGCCCTACTCGATTGTGGTTTCTGCTGCTAGCAAAGGCCCAGCTACCTGCCAGGCGGAGGAAGGCATCCCTTTTGGGGCACGTCCCTTCTTCCTCCTCCCAAAATAATGTTACATGTGGCTACACTGATGTTCACCTTTACACCCAGGGTCTTTGTGCCTTGTCTCTATTCCCTGTCTTGGACCTGGGGAGCAGGGACAGAGTCCTGGGACTCTGTTTTCTACAGTTCTTCTGGGAAGCACCTTTGGGAATGGGGAGGTACTTTTCCTGGGCTGGAGCTGTAGTTATGTCATCATGCCCTCTCGCCTTCAGACTGTTCTGTACTGTGTGCTGGGAAAGGTACTAATCAAATGCATCTAATCACAGTAAGGTTGGGAGAGAAGCCTTGGGATTCTCCTCTCTTTGGGTGCTGAGCCCCAACTCCCTGTTCCAGCCTTCGAACTCAAATTGCTGCCCTGGTTCTTTCTACAATGCTATGTGATCTAGGTGAACTCAGCTCCTGACCTTCCTTTGCCCCCGGCCTTTCCTCTTATCTCCTCTCTTTTTAAAATACCTATTTATTCCCAAGCCTAAGCTGTGACATAGAAGAACCCATCCCGTTTCTCCTCATCTAGTCCACCCACCACTTGCAGTGGTCCACTTCCTCCTAGCAAACATACAATTGTAGTGTCAGGTCTGGGACTGAATGACCTGCCCCAGATACATTCTGGCTTATTTGAGATTTCTGACTCCCTTAGAATCCTGTCCCTGGATTCAGGGAGGTGGCTTGGGAAAGGGGGAAAGGTACAGCCTGGGCCCCTTTTCTTGCAGGCCCCTTGGAGCAGTGTCAAATAAATATTCTGAGTGAGGAATGTGGCCTGTTCTTCATCCAGGTCTTTTTCTGACCTTCCTCAGCTTCTGTAAGCTGCAGAGTGAGGAATGTTAGCAGAGTAGTTTTTTATACACTTCAGTGCTTAGTTCCCAGTGCCTTCTGGTGGGGAACCTTTCTCCTCCCTTCCCCAGCTCTATCTGCACCTCATTTGCAAAGGAGACTTGATGTCCATCTTTCCTCATTTCTTTGAATATTTCCATCTGGGAAGCCCTTCAGATATCATTGTATTTTAACATATCACATTATTATTACTAATATTAGCAATGTATTGTTAACATGTTTTCTAAAATCTTTCTTTTTGAGCTGACCTTGCCCTTCTTTATGGGAGGCAGTGGGTCTGTGGCCCTTGGTTGCCCTATGTTGATGGATAATCTGGTCAGACCAGCTGGCTCTCCTGGTTCAGCACTCAGAAAATAACTGTTGTCGGAGCAAATTGACATGCATCATCTGAGTCACTCTGAGCTCCTGACATGTCATTTTCCCCTGGGTTAAGGCTTTTCATGCCTTGAAGATCTCACGTGTTCTGTGGGATTGGCAAGGAAGGGAATGTTGTTGACGCTTCGAGCTGTTTGGGGATGTTCAGGTACTGTAACTTACCAGAGCATGGAAGAACCCAGGTCTGAAGCTGAGACTCCGCTACTCTAGATGGAAACAGTAGAGGCAGACTTGTGATGATGGTCATGAGGCCTGAATGGCCAGAATTTTCTCCGTAAGGACTCCAGCCAAACACTGGACAGGATAGGGCCCTGACTCTTGAATCTTTTGCCTGCTGCCCTGCCAGTGTGTTTGGTTTTTTTGTTTGTTTTTGACAAATTCTCACTTTTGCTGGCCTGCCAGTGCTCATTCCAGGAATCTAAATAGGGGCTGTAGTTCACCTTAGCTTCGTTCCTACGCCACTTGTTTTTGTTTTGATTTAACATAGACAGGTTGACCTCAGGTTGCTCTCTATTGTAAAAACAGTATATTTGAATTATCCTAGAACTTGAGGGATGAAGCTTGGCACTCTAGGGCAGTCCTGCTCAAACTATCTGTGGTGAAAGACTAGCTTTTTTTTTTTTTTTTTTTAATACCTGATCCTTTGTGTACCACTGTGTGTTCCTGTTGCCCATGCTTAGTGCTCAGTGCACTGTATGCTTCCCACCACACAAGTCTGACAGACCCTGTTCAGCAGGATCATGCACTTGGATATCACAGCAATGTGAAAATGCTAAAAAGTTTTTAAACACTCTCAATTTCTTAATCGTCATGTTGCGAACTAGTATAAAACTTCATAGACTAGTACAAGTCTGCAAACTACCTTGGAATAGCACTGCTCTGGGGCCCTCCTCAGTCTCTCCACAGCTCCTAGCCAAAATGATAAATTCCAATAATTGTAGTTCTTTCCTATATGAGGGTTGCCTCTAGAGAATTTTTTCTTCAGCAAGCACGTGTCACTGCGAGGACATCTCTAGCATTTTTCTAGCCTTTTCTGCTGCGTAAAAATAACCATTACAAAGCTTAAGTTTAATCTGTATGTGAAATATTTATGTTGCTCTCAACCTTTAAAGGGAATGCGCCTTTATCCCCAAATTCTGGATGTTAGAAAAAAAAGTTATGGTTGTACGAATGATTTCATGAGTTTAGAATTGAATTCTTACAGAATTTGTGATACTAGGAGCATTTTCCTATGACTTGGAATTTAACATCGTGACATGGACTCCAGGAGATCATTCTAGTACGCTGTTGAGATGACTTTTGGAAGCTGGGGAAAAATAATGGTCCACATTAAATGAAGTAGAGATGGCAGGCCATAGTGGAAATGATCAGAAGAAGTGGGCGTGAAAGAATAAATTTGTTACATAATACTGGAGGATCTTCCAGCTGATTATGTTTCTTGTTCCTTAGGTAGGCCCAGAGAAAACTCTTTTATGAAGGCAATAAGAAATGCACTGGTGAAGGGATCACCAGTATCTTTGAGAAGTTTAGGAGTGGCTTCCCTCTGTAGATTGAGGCTGATGGAAGGAGATGTTAAAGAATTGGTTTCCCTAGTGGTAATGCAGATGATAGGATCCTGCATAGCAGAGACCAGATAGCAACACTTAACTCTGGGAAGCAAGGTGGGTGACTTTCCATAATGGATAGTGAAGTCAAAGTGGAGATGCTAATAAAACATGGGTGGTCCTAGGGGCAAGATTGATGGGCAGCCAATGAGAGCACTGACTTATATATAACTAAGGGAGATCAAGAATGGTTGCACAGAAGGGTGAAGTCAGTAACTTCAATGGAAAGTCACTATAGACAGTTTTAAACCCATAACCTATCAATTGAAAGGGGTCAGTTCCCCATGAAGGAAGATCCTCCAACACTATGGCAGGTGTACTAAGTAAGGGGTGAAATGGGTAATTCCCACAATTGTTGCCAGCTGTGTAGTAAGGATCAGCATGAATCCAGTCCCCAAACTGTGGAAATGGATACAGTCCTCACATTCCCACTTTTATATCCTCGTGGCCAGCCTCAAGTGGCACTGTGTCTCCGACGCTAGCCACCTGGAGCTAAGTCAGAGCTCACAGAAGAACACCTTCTTTCAGACTGCCAAACAGGCAGACACCAGACCCTGCTGGCTCTCACTGCCCCTGTGGTTTCATTAATTTGCTGGAACGACTCCCAAACTCTCATAGAGAGTATACTGTACTTATGACTACAACTTTATTACAACAAAAAAGGATACAAATGAAGAGAAACATAGGGTGAGGTCTGGGAGGGGTCCCAGTGTGGAGCTTCAGTGTCCCAAAGAGAAATGCACTACCCTCCCTTGTATAGATGCCTTTCACCAACCAGGAAGCTCTTCCAAGCCTTAGGGTTCCAGGCTCTTATCAGCCTCTCCAGGTGGCCATGATAGATTATGTCATACCTCCTGAGGCTAGTCAGCATCTGCCCCTAGGTGACCCCTCTTGTTCTGATCAGCCCTCACTCATTTGCCTCAGGTGTGATCCAGCTCTCAGGAACCAAGAACAAAGGCCAAATTGCTTTCTGCATCTCACAAGTAGTGATTCCATAGTCCTTCCCCAAAGGGACTTATAGCCATTTACTCAGTTAACCATATACTGGGGAAAGAAGAATACCCACTTTTCTTGAGGACTGTTGGATACAGAGTCTGAGTTAACATGTATACCCAGGAACCCAAAGCACCATCAGACTTCTCTGCTCCCACTCCCCATCCTATCTTGTTAACGATTGGGGAATATGGGAGTCAGGAAATAAATGGAGTGCTGGCTCAAGTCTGACAGTGGGTCCACATAACCACTTTGTGTCATTTTCCTGGTTTCCAAATGTATAATCAGAATGGAAATATTTGGCAGTTGGCAGAAAGGCCAAGTAGAAGCTCCTGGAACTGCACCCCTCCCTACCTTTGCCAAGATTGCAAAAAATATTTAATTCTGGGGGATTTGGCAGAGATAAGTGGTATCCTCAAAGACTTAAAAGGATGCAAGGGTGTTAGTCCCCATCATATCCTCGTTTAGTTCACCTGTCTGACCCCTGCAAAAACTGGATGGCTTACGATGGATAATGATGGACTACTACAAACTTAAGCTAGTTGTCCCAGTTGCAGTGCTGTGAGAAATGTGGTTTCTTTACTGGAAAGAGTAACAGCTAGTTGTGTAGGTAAAAAAAACCCACTGCCATCGGGTCGATTCTGACTCACAGTGACCCTGTAGGAGAGTGTAGAGCTGCCCCATATGGTTTCCAAGAGTGCCTGGGTGATTCAAACTGCCATCCTTTTGGTTAGCAGCTGTAGCTTTTAACCAGTACACTACCAGGGTTTCCCGTTGTGTAGGTATGTGGCTATTAATCTATCATGAGGATCAGCAAACTAGAGCCCCCAGGCCAGATTTGGCTCAATGCCTGTTTTTGTCTACAGGTATTTTTGCACTATGGTGGCAGAGTTGTGATAGAGTCATACGGCCCACAAAACCTAAAATATCCTCTGGCCCTTTTCAGAGAAAGTTTGTTGACCCCCGATCTAGCAAATGCATTCTTTCAGTACCTGTCAGGAAGGAGCATCTGAGGCAGTTTGCATTCGCCAAGCATAGGCAAGAGTATATGTTCACAGTCTTGCCCCAGAGCTGTGTTAATTCTCTCCCTCTGTCAGAGTGTACAAGTCCATAGAGACCTAGACATTCTGCAGAAAATCACGTTCGTTTGCGATATTCCAAACTCTTTGCTGTTGAGTCAATTCCAACTCATAGTGACCCAATAGGACAGAGTAGAACTCCCCTATAGGGTTCTCAAGGCTGTGATCTTTACAGAAGCAGACTGCCGCATCTTTCTCCCACGGAGGGCTGGTAGATTCAAACTGCCAACCTTTCCGATAGGAGTTGAGCACTTAACCACTGCGCCACCAGGACTCCTGTTTGCTGTATTAAGAATATGTAAATCAGACCTGATGATTAAGAAGGATCAAGTACTCTGGATTCCTTGGTGAGACACATATACTCCAGAGAGCAGGAAATAAATCCTGCAAAGATTCAGGGGACTGCCACATTTTGAAATTTTTAGGAGTCCAGTGGTCTGCAACATTTTGGAACGTCCCCTCCAAAGTAAAGGATAAGTATTGCATCTTGCATCTTTTATCCTAAGAAAGAAGTACAGTGCCTTGGTAGGCCTCTTTGAGGTTTGGAGACAACATATTGTGCACTTGGAAATGCTACCCTGATCCATTTACAGATAAGAAGAAAGACTGCTAGTTTTAAGTGGCACTTAATACAAGAAGGAGCTCTGCAGTAGGTCCAAAAACCAAAAAAAAAGAAAAAAAAACACTTGCTGCCATCGAGTCGATTCCAACTCATAGTGACCCTATAGGACAGAGTATAACGGCCCCATTGGTTTTCCAGGGAGCACCTGGTGTATTAGAACTGCCAGCCTTTTGGTTAGTAGCCGTAGCTCTTAACCACTACACCACCACGGTTTCTGCAATAGGTCCAGGCTATGGTATAAACAGCCCTACCGCCTGGGCCATATGACCTTGAAAATTCCATAGTACTCGAAGTATCTGTGGTAGGAATAGATGTGTGGATTATCTGGCAATCTCCATAAGAAGAGTTCCAGCATAGACCTCTAGAGTTCTGGAGCAAGGCAATGCCATCTGCAGCAGAGAAAGTTTTACCATTTGAAAAGCATCTTCTAGCATGCTGTTAGGCCCTGGTAGAGATTTGAGTGTCTGACCATGAGATATCAAGAGAGTGTGACCAGTTGCCCTTGAAGCCATCCACAAAATCATAAGGTTGGGTGAGTACAACAGTAATCCATCTTGCAATGGAAATGGTACATTCAGGAAACAGACTTAGTGGGCACAAGTTAAACTGAACAAGGGTTCTCAGACTCCCATATCACCTACCTCTTGCACTGACACCTTTCTCTAAGCTCACACCTGTTGCCTCATTAGAATTCCTTCAACCGTATGATGGAAGGAAAAAATCCAGGTCTGGTTCATGGATGGGTTAGCTTGATACATTGGAGTAAACCAAATATGGACCGCTGTCTCAACATGGAGCCCTGGTGGCATCAGTGGTTAAGCATTTGGCTGCAACCAAGAGGTCAGCAGTTTGAATCCACCAGCCACTCCTTGGAAACCCTGTGGGGCAGTTCTACTCTAGGGTCACTATGAGTCGGAATCTACTTGATGGCAGCTGGTTTGTTTGGTTTGGTCTCTCAACATCCCCACTCAAGGATGACCCTTCAAAACTGATGAGGGAAAATCCTCTCAATGTGTAGACCTTCAGACAGTGTACCTGAAGTGGCTGGCCTGAGGCAAGGATATATATGAACTCATGATCAGTGGGCTGGTTGGTCAGGGGCCTGGGAGGAGCAAGATAGGAAGATGGGGAACAAGGTCTGGTGAAGACCATTTGGATGGATCTATGGGAATGGGATTTAATAAAGCATCATTAAGGGTCACCAGAAGAGCGCTAAACAATGACTAAATGATGGTGTCTTAGTTATCTAGTGCTGCTATAACAGAAATACTGCAAGTGGGTGGCTTTGACGGAAACTTATTTTCTCACAGTTTAAGAGGCTTAAAAAAAAAACAACTCAATGCTATTGAGTCAATTCTGACTTATAGCGACCCCATAGGGCAGAGTAGAACTGTCCCATAGGGTTTCCAAGGAGCGACTGGTGAATTCAAACTGCTGACCTTTTACCTTAACCACTGCACCACCAGGCAGAAGTCTAAATTCAGGGTGCCTGCTCTGGGGGAGGCTTTCTTTCTCTGTTGGCTCTGGAGGAAGGTCCTTGTTTCTTCTGTTCCTCGGTGATGTTCCTGTGGCCTGGCATCTATCTTCTCCCATTTTACTTCTTTAATTTTTTTTTTTTTTTTTGTATCTCAAAAGAGACTGATTTAAGGCATATCCTACACTAATACTGTCTCATTAACATAACAAAACTCATTCCCAAATGGGATTACAACCACTACATGAAACCACTGCAGTCATTGCAAGTAGTCAGCTGCCCTGTAGAGTTTCCAAGGAGTGCCTGGTGGATTCGAACTGCTGGCCTTTTAATTAGCAGCCGTAGCTCTTACCCACTACGCCACCAGGGTTTTTGTAACCACTATATGGGTTAGGATTTACAACACATATTTTGGAGGAACATAATTCAATCCATAACATATGGGATGACTTGTTCAGGACTGCCTCAGCTACCCCAATGCTTGCACAGTGTCCTCATGAATAGAATCACCATGGAGGCAGAGATGGAGGTTATTCATTGGCCTGTTAGAATGGATTTGGCTCTCACCGTGGCTGATCTAACTACTTCTGTTGCTAAATGTCCAGCCTGTCAGCAACAAAGACCAATGCTGAGGCCCCAGTTCAGGACCACCCTCAAGGAGAACAACCAGCCATTTGGTAGCAAGTTAATTACCTTGAACCTTTTCCATTTTGGAAAAGGCAGCAGTTTATTCTGACCAGGATTGATACATACTTTGCTTTACCCATTCTGTCTGCAGCACCTCAGCCAATACTACCGTCCAAGGGCTCACGGAGGTTTTTGATCTACTGGCGTGGAAGCCTACATAATAATGCCTTGGAACAACTGGCATTAGGAGCCCAAAGTGACCAGATGGCAGCCATAGCTTTAAGTTTATTGAGATTCTTATGGTGATCCCTGGTAGAAGCAACCCTCCCCCTTGGAATCAGGACCTCCAGACCCACAGTGTTAAAGTTGCAGGAATGAGAAGCACAAATTCCTCAAGTGGATCACTGGGAATGATTTTGAGCAGGATCACTCCTAGTTCCATCCCTTGGATCTGCTGACATGGGATCCTACATAATGGTAAAGCAGGAATGGCATTGGACACATGACCGTAGGATCCACTGGGCCTACCAGATACCTTTCCATCTACAAGCTGCTGACCTGACAGAGTAGTGGGATGGCCTTTTGAAGGTGCATTTGTGGTGCCAGCAAGGATGGGATGCTATCTTTTACAATGCATTATAAACCTAAATGGCCATAATTTGGTGCTTTATCCCTAGTAGGTAGAATTCATGAGCCCTGGTACCAAGGGATGGAAGTAGGAATGATCCTGCTCAACATCATCCCCAGTGATCCACTTGAGGAATTTGTGCTTCCCATTCCTGCAACTTTAAACTGTGGTTTTGGAGATCCTGATTCTAAGAAGGGAAGGGCTGCTTCTACCAGGGATCACCGTAAGAATCTCAATAAACTTAAAGCTATGACTGCCATCTGGTCACTTTGGGCTCCGAATGCCAGTAGACCATCAGACAACAGAAGAAGTTACTATATTGTCAGGGATGATTGACTCTGCTCATTATAGAAGGTAGGACTGCTACTACATCATAGGGGGAGGGAAGAATGTATTTGGTGTGCATGTGATCCCTTGGGATATCTCTTGATTCTTCCATGCTCGGTTATAACTAAATGGGTAAATGTAGCACCTGTGGCCTGATAAGGGCATTGTCCCCAGGGGCTCAGAGCCCCTAGGAATAAGGATCTGGCTTACCCCACCAGGTAAGCCACCTATACCAGCTGAAGTACTAGCTGAGAGAGAGAAATCTAGAATGGGTGGTAGAGAAGGGAGATGAATGTCATTCATGACCTCAGGACCAACTCCAGCAACTCCTCTTGTACATGTGCCCAGAAATTGTGACTCACCATAATGCTGAAAAAACTGCATGGAGTTGGATAGCGTATACTTACTGTGCAAAGCAAATGGATCTGGGCGAAGCCAGAGGTGGACTGTAGTGGACATTGTCGATGCCCTGTCCAGATCCTCTTTACCAGGAAGTGATCATGCTGGCTGCTAGTAGCTCACAGTTGCATCCTTCTCTTGAGGATTGTCATCTATGCCAACATGAGCAACTTCTGGAAATTCCTGGGAGGTTACAACCTCCCAGGGGTAGCCCCATAGCCAACAATTGACGCTAGGGTACAAAATTTCTTCCCCCTTTCCTCAAGGTGGGACAAATGTGCCATTTATGTTCCAGAGTTCCTAGTCGAAGCTAAACTTATCAGCTGAACCCATATCTTTGCCTAGCTTTTTCCTCTATCATGTCTTGCTTTCTTACAGGTTTTACTTGAGAGCACTTCCTCAATCACTACACAAGGATCTCTGTCCTGGGCTCTGGTAGAGAATCCAACCTGAGACAGGTGGAGAGTGGGGCCAACTAAGAGATACAAGAATAGGAGCAGTTTGGAGTTGGCAGAGGGTAGAGCAAAGGTGAGTTCAGTTTCGTAGTGTTAAAGTGCCATTGGCCATCATGTATATGAGTCTGAAGCTACAGGGAGAAGCCTGGGTTGGAAATAAAGACTTGGGAGACATCATTATGTATATGATAGTTTAAACTGTGAAAGTGGATAAAATCATTTTGGAAAAACTTGTAGAATGAAGAGGAAAAGAAGCTCATGAAATAAATGGTCAGATACATATAAATAGAACCATGGAATATAGTGTCACAGAAACCAGTGGGATTGAGTTTCTAGAAGGAGTAATGATCATCACAACCTCAAATTGAAAAGAATACCCAAGATAAGAGTTCATTGATTTGGTGACAATAGAAATGATGTCCACAAAGCTGTGAGCACAGCAACCAGATTGCCCAGTGGGAGGCTTTTATCGCCATAAACTTGTCAAATAGATTCCAATTTTTGACAGTCCCATGAGTGCAGAGTAGAACTGCACTCCAAAGGGTTTTCAAGGCTGTGACCTTTGGAAAACAGAACTCCAGGCCTTTCTTTCCAAGGATCTCTGGGTGGGCTTGAACTACCAACCTTTCAGTTAGTAGATGAGTGCTTAACCATTTGCACCACCCAGTAATTATTTTTATTCCAATACCAAACCAAAAAGCCAACCCCACTGCTGTCGAGTCAATTTTGACTCCGCGACCCTATAGGACAGAGTGGAACTGCCCCATAGGGTTTCCAAGGCTGTAATCTTTACGAAAGCAGATTGCCACATCTTTCTCCTGAGGAGCGGCTGGTGGGTTTGAACCACCAACCTTTTAGTTAGCAGCCATGTGCTTAACTACTGCGCCACCAGGGCTCCTTTTTATTCCCATAGCTACACTAAAATCACTCTTGTCAAGGTCTTTAATAACCTCCATCTTTCCAAATCCAGAGGTCAGTTTTCAGTCATATTAACCTCAGTCTCTTAAGTAGGAATGACAGCTTATGGTGCCTTTTTGGAGACATTTTTTTTAAAACTTGGTTTATAAGACCCCTCACTCTCTTAGTTTACTTTTTCTTCCTGTTTCTTGACTGCTCCTTTTCAATGTATTTTTCTGGATATTCTGCCTGTGACCTTTACTAATGGAGTGCCTCAGGATTAGAGGGCTCAGTCTTTAGATGTCTTCTCTTTTCTTTCACATTTCCTCTAGGTGAGTTCTCACTCCGTGGCTGTCTATACCATTTATTCCCTGATGGCTCCCCCAGTTTATACCTCTGCTGTCTCTCCTGTGAGCTCCAGATTCCTATTTCTGACTGTTTACTCAACAGCTCCACTTGGAAATCTATTAGGTATCTCCAACTTAACATGTTTAAAATAGAACTCTTAATATTTCCCCCAGAACCAGCTTCAGTACCCCAGGTATTCCATCTCAGTAAATGGCATCACTGTTTATCCAGTTACTCAAGTCAAAAAACCTGATACATCCTTGAGCCTTCTCTTTATCCTGCACCACACATTCAGTCTATTAGCACATCCTCTCTAAACCAAACCAATTGCCGTCAAGTCTGTTCCAAGTCATGGCAACTCCATGTGCTTCATTGGAAGTGGATTGCCAGACCTTTCTTCTGAGGCACCTCTGGGTAGATTCAGACCTCCAACATTTTGGTTAGCAGTTGAGCATTTAACCATTTGTGCCAGCCAGGGACTCCTAAATCCTCTCTCTTTACTCACCTTTAAAGTGCATCCTGACTCCAGCCACTTTCTACCACTGCAGCCCTTAGTCTTATTAGGTCTTCTGCAATAGCCTTCTAATTAACTGGTCTTTCAGCTTCTGTTTTGCCACCTTAAAGGCAGTTCTCAAAGCAGCAACCAGAGTGAAGCTTTTTAATTATAAATTAGATCACTCTTTTGCTAAAAACCCTCCATGGCTTCCTGGCATCTTAGGATAAAATCCAAAGTCCTTACCTTGGCCTGTAAGTCCTTAAGTAATCTGGCTCCAGACTCGTTCCTTACCTGCCCTGTTGCCACACTGGCTTCCTTGCTGTTCTTTGAACACACAAAGCGCACTCCAGCTTCAGTGTCTTTCTTTGCCTTGCTGTTCCCACTGCTTAGAATGGTCTTTCCCCAGATATGTATGCATGGCTCACTCACTGACTTCAGATCTCTCTACACATGTCACCTCAGTAGAGAGGCCTTCCCTGAACCCCCTATATAAAAGAGCCCGCTGTCCTAGTGACTCACTTTTACCCTGCTTTATTTGCCTTTACAGTACTCTTAACAATATATTGTCTTTTTCTCCCTCTTTCACCCTCAGCCCCCAGCTCCTCCACTAATAGGTTCCATGAATGCAGGAATTCAGTTTGTTTTATTCATTGCTGCAGCTCCAGCACCTAGAACAGGGCCTGCCACATAGCAGGCATTCAGTAAATAGTTGTTGACTGAGTGAAAGAAAGAATAAATAGAATGGTAGGCCATTTAATAGCCAGCCTGCACCCTGGCCCTGGTCTAGGTGTTAGGGTTACAAAGATGACAAAGTCCCTGCCCTCACAGAGCTTATATTCTAGTACTATAATATTATAAATATATTATAAAACCAAAAAACACCAAACCTGTTGCCATTGAGTCGATTCCAACTTATAGCGACCCTACAGGACAGAGTAGAACTGCCCAATAGAGTTTCCAAGGAGCACCTGGTAAATTCGAACTACCAACTTTTTGGTTAGCAGCCGTAGCTCTTAACCACTATCCCACCAGGGTTTCCAAATATATTATAGGTTGTGAAAACATTATGAAGAATGCTGGGTGAGGGTATAGAGGATGGTGGTATGGGGTGCCATTTTACTTGGAATAGTCAAGAGCCATTTCTCTGAGGAAACAACATTTGAGTTGAGAGGTTACGTGCAGAGACCAAGTCTGGTAAAGTGCTGGATGAACATTCCAAGAAGAGGGAGTGAGGGCAAAAGCCCTGAGGCCCTCAGGCGGGAACATTCTTTGGTTGGAGTAACAGTGAGAAGACCAGTGAGGCTAGAGCAGAGCTAGGCAGCATGGAAGACAGAATCAGAGAAATAGGTACCAGATAACTTAGGGCCCTGGAGGCCTTTGTGATCATTTCAGTTTTAATTATGTGATGGGAAGCTATTGGAGGTTTTGAGCAGAGGAATATAATCTGACTTACATTTTAAAAGGTCACTCTGGCCTCCCTATGTTAAACTGTAGCAGGGCAATAATGGAAGTAGACAAACCAGTTAGGTGGCTATTGCAGTGGTCCAAGTAATATATAATAGCTTGGAGTAGGTGGCTATGAGTCGGAATCTACTCAATGGCAGCGGGTTTGGGTTTTGTTTTGTTTTTGGAATAGGTAATAGCAGTAGAGGAGGTGAGAAATGGTCAGATTCTTGCACCCCAGCTGTCTTAGTCATCTAGTGCTGCTATAACAGAAATACTTCAAGTGGATGGCTTCAACAAACAGAAGTTTATTCTCTCACAGTCTAGAAGGCTAGAAGTCCAAATTCAGAGCATCAGCTCCAGGAGAAGGCTTGCTCTCTCTGTTGGCTCTGGGGGAAGGTCCTTGCAATCAATCTTCCCTTGGTCTAGGAGCTTCTCCGGCATAGGGACCCCAGTCCAAAGGATGTGCTTTGCTCCTGGTGCTGCTTTCTTGGTGGTGTGAGGTCCCCAAATCTCTGCTCCCTTCCCTTTCATCTCTTGTAAGATAAAAGGTGATGCAGGCCACACTCCAGGGAAACTCCCTTTACGCTGGATTAGGGATATGACCTGAGTAAGGGTGTTACGTCCCACCCTAATCCTCTTTAACATAATCTAATCTTGCCTCCTAAACCACAGGCAGAGATTAGGATTTACAACAAATAGGAAAATTACATCAATCACAAAATGGAGGAGAACCACACAATACTAGGAATCATGGCCTAACCAAGTTGACACATATTTTGGGGGGACACAATTCAATCCATGACACTGGCCTTCTGGTCAGAAAATCCCCAGCCTGGTAGATGGGACTGACCTTGATATCAGGAACTCTCGGCAGGCTTTCTTTAGGTGTTAGAATGAAGCAGAGTGTAGAAAGTCACCCTACACCACCTGGCCCATTGTTGGAAACCATCAGCACGCACCACCCCTCTTCAGAGAAAGACCCTCTTAGAAATTTTCAGTTTAGCTGTACCTCAAGTTTATGAGCCCCTACTTTTTCTCTCCTCTCATTTTTTGAAAAGTATTTACTTTTGGTGGCAGTATACACAATCATCCATTCACAGTTTCTGTTTACATGAATCGTTCAATAACATTGGTTACATACTTCACATTGTGTCACCGTTCTCTCTTTACCCATATTGTTTCATCACCATTGATTTTGGCTCTCTGCCCCTTAAAGTTCTTATCTGTGCTTTAGATTAACTGTTGTCAATTTACACTCATAGATAATTCCTTATAACAGTGCTATGCCTGAAGCAAACATTCTTTATTGTCTAAACTGTTGTTTAATGATGGCTTTGTGGGATAGTTTCGGTTCAAGGTTTAAAGATTATTTCAGGGTTCCCCCAGTCTCAATAGATCCAGTTAAGTCTGGTTCCCATATGAATTTGAAATTTTGTTGCATGCTCTTCCTCCTTTTGACCAGGATCCATCTATTGGGCCCCTTGATCAAAACAGTCAGTAAGGTAGCTGGGCACCATCCATTTCTTCTGGTCTCATGGTAACGGAGGTAGTAGTTTATGGAGGCAATTAAACCTGCAGTACGAACTCCTTCTTTAAAAATGGGTAAATGGAGGCGCTCAGGGGGAAGCGGGCCTCAGTGGTATAGAAACCACTTAAAGAAACAAGGTTTTCACAAGAAATCTGGTGAGACCTACTGGGGTTCAAAAACAGGGCAAGAATGGAGGTCGCCCAGGAAGTTGCCTGCTAACCTGTTCGAAATGTTTATTTCCACCACAACTTTTGGGAAGTCCCTAACTCGCATTTGTCTTGGACATCACAAGAGAAGCAAACCCTTCATAACAGCCCACAAAAACAACTTCGCCTTCTTGGTAGTGCGCACGCGCCCTTCCCTCTGTTTTCCGTTGGCCTTAAGCCCCGCCCCTGCTGCGTCGTTTGAGAAGGGTTGGGAGCCGTGAGCTCGCGCGACCACTCTTCCCTCAGTCTCCAAGAGCATATCGTCGCAAACGGGGCCGGAAAGCGTGGCAGCGCAGGCGCAGGCGCAGAGAGCGGAGGCCGTGGTGGTGGCGGCTGCTGGCCAGTGTAAGATGGCGGCGGCGTTGGTGGCGGTAGTGGACGGGGCGGCGGGGCCTGGAACAGTCGGAGCAGCTGCTGGCATAAGGATGACCCGAGACGGGAAGCAGGCTGCTGAGCCTCGTCGGCTCCCGTGCTTGTAACTGCCCCAGCCGGACACCCCCCCCCTCCTTGACCTACCCGGTCCGTGTCTCGTTCCGGCTCGGCCTGCCTCCTTCTTCCCTGGCCTGTACCCCTGCAGCATGGGCCTGACCCCTTCCCCAAGTTCCCAGGGCTAAGGTCTTCTCTTTTCCTTGACCCGAGTCACGTCCGGAAGAACTGGCTTCCTTTTCCTCAGGTCAGCCCTGGGTTCCCCCCAAGAGCCAACCCCACAATCCACAGGGACGCCCTGCTTCGTCGGGTGACCCACTTGTGTGCTCCCGTTTTGCGGCTTAGATTGGGGGACGCGGCTGGCCCTGGGTCTCCCCGTCACCACAGGGCCGCCGCGCACTGTGCCCCCTCCCCCATCCCAAGTTCTCGGGCCCAGTACCTTGTACGGAAGGCCGAGGTCCAAGAACCCGGGAGTCAGCTGCCGCCTCTGGTCATGTACCTTTTGTAATTTACTTAGTTAATCATCCCCCAACCCCAAATCTTTCAGGACACCGTAGAACGGTACCATTTGGTCCCTGTTAGTTGGAAAGCATTTGGTGGCTTAAATTTCTGACTCATATGATTGTTGCTGGAGTCTGTAAACAAACCGGCAGTAGCGCTATCACATTCTCTCCGGGATTTCCCCCATGCTCTGTGGGTTCTTATTAAAAGGTTGTTTGGTTATGGATTAACGCTGAAAAGATTTCAGATTTTCCTTTTAAGTGACTTTTACGTTTTAGTGGAGCTGGGTGATTACTTGCGTGTCTTCTAATCCTCGTGTTGTTTCCGTTTATTTCAGTAACTCTGTGGGTTATTCGTTCAGAAGGTAGAATTAGATAAGTTATTCTGGTTTTAGATAGTTCTTAGGAAGTCTTTAATGAAAGCTAAAATGAATAATTTTTTATTATATTTCGTAGAAGAGGCACCTTTGCCATTTGAACTTTTAACTTTTCTCAGTTCTTCAGCGAATCTACAAACCTTTTTTCTCAGGAGCTCAGCCTGGCCTTACTTCAGTGATAAAGGAAGAAAGGTGAGTAGGAGTTGAGGCATTTAAATTCCTGAGTTCAAGACAGACCCTGCCCTGATGCTCAAGGGATGACCACTGAGGTCTTAAAATTCCTCCCAGTTTCCCGAAGAGTGAAAGTATTGTTCTTGGCTGTGTTTCAGCTCTGCTTAAATTACTTTTACAAGTTTAATTGGCCGTGGGCATCTTGACTTTCTGTCCTAAACTATTGCTGTATATTTTCAAATGACTAGAGTTAAGCCTGGAAGTGAATGTGTCAACCCACCCCCACCCCCAGTCGTATTTCTTTATTCATTTGCCATGTATTTTGCCTTTGTGTGGATCATGTTTCTTACATTGTTAAAAACTGAGAGTTAGTTTGCCTGAGTTCTCTTCAGCCCTTTTGTCAAATGAAGTCTTTTCCTCCCCTCTCAGGGCTTTGATTGTTATCCCTTACCATTTAGAGAAGAATATTTAGTTGCATGTGACTAAAAATGGGGTAGCGGGGGGGGGGGAGGCGGGGGATGAGTGCTGCTGCCATTAGTTGGTGTCAGTCCAATCCACCTTCGAATTCCAGCTTTTCAGGACATAGTAGGTAGTGGTAAATCTTTGGTTAAAAAAATAAAATAGTGGCTGCTCTTTTATAGCTGGTCTAAAGAATTCTTGGTCAGAGGAATCATCTGTACCTTCCTGCCTTCAGCAGCATGGGCCAGTGCCAAAGAGGGAGTCAGACTTTTGGTTTTGCTTCTACATCTTAGCATGTACTTTAGAGTTTTTTGCAAATGTAATTTTTGTGAGACTCTTGGATTTCTGGTAGCAGAGAGCAGTGCTGTGATTGATGTTCATAAGATGTGGCAGAAGAGTTGAGTGGTTCTGGAAGGTAGGCCTAGCTGATTCTAATATCTTTGTGATTTGCAGTAAGAAAAAGTTGAGACTGACACTGATGAGGTTTATTCCACAAGGTGTCCTGAGTAAAAAATGCTCATTGTGCACTGGAATAAGATTATTAATGGTGATGGTGGTGGTGGTCGTGTTGGGGTGTGTGTGTATCAGTAAGATATAAAAGGTGTTAAGGGAAAAGTGCTGTCTTTAGAGCCAGACAGACCTGAGTTTAAATAATATACTAAGGTTTGTTAGCCATGTGACCTTGGATAAGTTACTTCTCTCACTTTCAATTTTCACATCTGTAAAAGTGAGAGAACACCACTTACCTCCCAGGATTATTGTGAAGTATTGTATCAACGCTGTTGCCATCAAGTTGATTCCAACTCATAGTGACCCTATAGATTATTAGATTATTAGTGTTATTAGTATTGTGTTAGAGGACCTATATAAACCTGCTACGTTATGCCTAGCACAGGGTAGGCACTCAAATACTATTTTCTCTTTAAACAACCTTGGTATATCTTTGAATAAAATTATAAATTAGTTTACACTTACTTGGATTTTGCTTTATAACACATTTTCACGCTAGTTTTTTTTTTAATTCATTTTTAATTGGTCAATTTAGTTGTGTGCTCTGTAGGTGCCTGGCAAGAGTTGTCTTCACAACATGATTCAGGTTGGTCTGGTGGGGGCTTACATCTAGAGGACAGAGGGAATATTAGATTGTTAGAGATTGTATGTCTCTAAGTATACTCCAGTCCCTGGATGATGCAAGTGGTTGACTGCTAATCGAAAAGTTGGTGGTTCGATCCCACCTAGAGGCGCTTTGGAAGACAAGCCTGGCAGTCTGCTTTTGAAACGTCATAGTCTTGAAAATCCAATGAGCAGTTCTACTCAGCACACTTGGAGTGGGGTCAGGAATAGACTTATGAGAACAACAGCAGATGCGTTCCTAAACTAAAAATGAATAATTTTCCTTCGTTTATTTCCTTCCTTTTCTCTCCATTACCACACCTGATCATAGTTGACAGTATTGTAATTCCTTCCCTTCTTGCCATCCTCTACCCCTATCTTATACCTTTTCTTTTTTGCCATGAAGGGAATACGTTTTTCCCAAGCTGTTGAACTCTGCAGTGATCCTCATCAGCAGGTTACCAAAGAATTAGATCATGAAAAGGTCAGTTTTCTTTCTGAAGTGAATGGGGGTTCGGGAGTTAGGAATGCAGAGTTGTTTTTTTCCATCTCCACAGCTGACCATCTCAATAATATGACAGCACAAATGAGAAGTTTTTAACCTTCTTTTGTTGGCTTTCTTCCACATCTTTTTGGAGGTGGCAAGGGCACATGAAAACTAAGAAAGTGTTGAGAACATTACAATGAAAGCAACTTTACTCATTCAGGCCAGTGATCAGCTTAGGGTTGATTAACTATTGTTACCACCAGCCAGGGGCTAAGTTCTCCACTGAAAGGTGAAGCTTCCTGGAGGTGGGGAGGGGCGAGGTGTGTCATTTGTGGTTTTAAGCCTGAGATAAGGAGTTCTATGTTCAGGAGGGGGAAGGGTGGGAGAGGAAAAGGAAATATGTTGAAAGAAGCATACTTCTGACTATTCCTTATTACCTTATGCACAGGGTAAGGGTTTAACATTTTATGTTCCAGGTGGCATCGATATTCTTAGTACACGGATTATAAATAACTAAAATTCTTATCTTTCTGAAGATGTTTTTATATTTCAGGGTTTTCTGTGTTACATTAAAATTAGGCATCCTACTGGGAAGTTTTTTCTAGCATGGGTGGAGTAGGGGACTAGGTATGCTTGTGACCTCTTAGTTCTTACCAGCAACCTGACATTTTATATAGCAGTCTATTAAATGTGTAAGAATCAGTCCCAGCACCAAGACTTCATTGTTGGCTGGGATCAGCACTAATATAGAAGGAAGCTTGTCTGCTGAGAGAACTAAAAGAAAGCAGCCTTTTTGTTGCCAGTTTTAAATAATACGGCATTTTAAAAGCAAATAGGCTCTAGTAGAAGACATTCTATGGAAGTGGACCCTGTTGTGGGAGAGCTTCATGTTTTAGGACCTGTATTCTGTCAGGTGAGTTACAGGCTTTTAAAATTACGAATGACTAGTTAATGTCTGCTTTCAGTAGGCAGGTTTATTATTAGATTGTTTCTGCTGTAGAAAAGTTATTCTAAACAAATACAAGAAATGCCCAGATTGTAAAAGAGAAACAGAGGTGTCCAAAGGAGTGCTATTTATTGCATAATATTGGTGTTATAGTTAATTTTTAAGTTTCTGAGATCGAGTTAGCTCTTTTTTTTTTTTCTTCTCCTTTTTAGCAGATTATCAGTGAGCCAGGACAATCTGCTACTTAACCTTTACCCATTTGGAATCGAGGCAACTGAGTGAACTTGAACCATATTTATCTCAGCAATAGGTATGGGGGTAGTTGACTGTATATCTTCATTTCAGAGCCAAATGCCAGTGTGTTTTATATTAGGTTTACAATAATGTTGAAAACTTTTCATCTTTTCGTTTTCATGACTGTATCTAAGAAACTTCATTGCTGTTAAAAATCTGTCAGAACGAGGAGCTACCTGCCCTTGTTTACTGATGCAGTCATTGTTTTCTTAGAGTGAGAAGGCCTTGACAACTCTTCAGGAATTAGTGTGTGGTGAATTTTATGAATTGGTCACTTCTCTGTAGCAGGCTTTTATTTCGACCGTTACAGAACATGGTTTCTGGGCCAGAAGCCCAGTTTCTCAAGTACATTAAGTACTTTGCTCTAGAGATGTGTTATGCTATAGATAAATTAATGAACTGAACCTGCCAGTAGAGGCTTGGAGGGTGATTAATATGACAAAGATGGCATCTTATTAATGAAATATGGTTTGTCTAATGGATATGGTCATTGCAAAAAAATTTATCATTGTATCTGAGATGTTAGATATTTGCTTTTATCCTCTAAAGTTTAAGGATGTCTGGCCAAATTCTGATGCTTGCCTCACATGTTATTTTTTGTTCTTTCTGGTTTTTCTTAGCCATCTGGAAAGCTCCTATAGGATTTACCTGTAGTGGTAGCTAAGAGGCAGTATTCCTCTGGTGTACTTTAATCCTTGCCACATTTATCAGGTAGGTTTTTTTTTTTTTTTTTTTTTTAAACAGTATTTAGGACCTAGCATTACACCCTGTCCTCTAACCCGATGCAGGTAGGAAGACACATCATGATATTTTTGGCCTCTTTCTTTGTTGTTTTATTTTAAGTTGTACTTTTGGAGAATTACCCTTTCATCTCTCTGCTGTCCTTTTCAACAATTAAAAAAAAATTGAAAGATGAATGGCAAAAACTGGAATGGTGACAGTGTTCTTGATGTAAACGTAAAGCATTTCGTGTTGAAAAAACAGTGGAAGATATTATTTTCCTTAGAGTTATTTAAATTGCAGTAAATAGGCTTGAATGTTACTATAAAACGTTCCTTAGCTCTGCTGCTGGAGGTCAGCACTCAAGGGCTAGAGTACATTCCTAACATACTCTGAAATACTGTTATTAGAATTAAAGCCAGTAAACTGTAAACACAGGGCATTTGGTATTACCAACAGGGAGAGAAGGCATTAGTCCGGGTAAGGAAGGAGGTGCTTTGTTTATAGATTGGCTACTGGAGGACTTCCTTATCTTCCTCATCATCATCTGTGGGCATTGCTTTGTAGTCCTCCATCTTGGGTTTCTGTCTTCCTTCGAGAGAGAAAAACATATAAAGAAATGGAGGCTTACATTGTTGGCTTCTGGGTACTTTGCTTTACCCTAGTTCTTAGACATGCATGTTCTCAGAAGAGCTTTCTGAATTCTTTAAAAGGCCAGTGAGGGTAGGTAAGCAGATTTCGCAGACTTGAAGCTGTCCTCTACGTTGTGTACAGTGTTTGGAAGATCATTGCTGAGTGGCAAAGAAATCCAGGCTTCTCTGGGAAATGTAGTCTGGAAACAGACATAGGAAGCTAGAAAAATAATGTAAATTACTGTGTACCTGCCATGTACAGATAGGCTCTTTACATATGTTGTTGTTAATCTTCTAAACCACCTCCTGCAGAGTAGTGGTATCATCCCATTTTATAAAAGAAAAAATTGAAACTCAAAGTAGATGGTAGAAGTAGAATTCAAACCCAGGCCTGTTTATACCAGACCCCTTTTCTTTGTGTTATACCATGTATGCCGACTTTAAAAACAGCAGCTGTTCATGCAATGCCATGAAGCAAATGAGCTGAAAGGCAGAATTAAATATTTCTTATAAAAGTGTATATAAATTATAAAAGGTTTATACAAATGAGAAAATAATAGAAATTTAAAAACTTGAAATTGTTTAGACATGGGTCTTGAGTTATGATTAAGTGGTAGGCTAATGAGTTTTTTAAGGAAATAACTTTTTATGGACTAAGATAGCGGAATCCTGGTGTTTTATAATCCTTAAGTAGGGAGAAAACCAGCATCACCGTTCAGTCCCTTAGTAAGTTCCATGGGAAAAGCTGCTCTGACTCTCACCGCCTTTTCTCAGTGTACATCTTTCTGTGCTTGTCGTAGCACTTGAGACATGGACTGTCCCCTCCTTGAAACCTTTTTATCTCTTGACTTTTAAGGCATTAACTTATTATTCCTTCTATTTCCCTGACCATTCCTTTGTCCCCTGTCTCCCTTCTTTCTCATACCTAAGGGTAGATATTCCCCCAGATTCTTTCCTTGGACTTCCTCTCTCTCAAGGCTTTCCTAGATACTTAATTTTTTTTTTTTTTTTTTTAAAGTTAAGGTATAGTTTACAAGATATTTGAGTTTGATGCTTCTTTGTACAAATAATTTACAAGTCTTTGTATCTGGCACCTATATATCAAGTTTCAGACCTACATTGGTTCTCCATGTCAACTTGGATTTTACACATATCCATCCTCTTTTCCCTGCAAGCCAGCTTCTCAGTTATGGCACTAGATTTCCTTTAGGCATCCAGACTCAGAAAAGGCTTTTTTTTTTTTTTTTTTTTTGACTCTTTCAGCTTCCATAGCTGCCGATTGAGCCCCAAATACTATCAGTTCTGTCTCTACAGTGTTTCTCACATTAATTCCCTCATTTCGCTTTCCTCTGCCACCAACCTAAGATAGGCCCTCATTATTTCTTTACCTGGTTTACTATTATAGCTTTTAAACTTGTTTCTCTTTCCTTAATCTGTCCATCTTTTTATCCTGGACAAAATGATCTTCCTAATGCCTAGTATTTTTCTGCTCAGAAACGTTGTAACTCTACATTGCCAACTAAGTAAATATGCCTTATTTTGCTTTTCAAAGCCAGGAAGCATACACACTCCACATGCATATGTCAGCCTTCTATTATGCTTCTTAACTACTTAGCTGTACCCTAACATCTAGCCAAACCAGACCCCCCATATATTTTCTTGAACATGACACGTTTTTCAGCTTCCATGTCTTTTTTCATTCTGGTCCTGCTAGAATGTCTGCCTTTCTCAGCTCTATCCATTGAAATCCTATCCTCCCTATAAAGCTAATTTCTCCATGAAAATATTTCTCCTCTCCCTAAAACTAAATACAGTCTTTTCCTCTATCAAACTGCAACAGTATCCTATTCATCTTTTTTATGATACTGATACTTGTATCTCTGAGCGAAATGAGTGGTATTGGCTACAAAGGGATTGTGACTGCCTTGTTTATATTTGAAGCTCCTGTATTTTTATACATTGTTGCATTAGTGTCATGTTGTATACAGACGGGCCACTGGGTGGTGCCAGAGGCTTATAATTCGGATAAAGATGGGAGGCATAGAGCTGCTGTGCAGTTGGGTCGCTCTGTGCTGTGAATCTTCTTCACAATAGGAGTAGAGATTAATTTCCCTGATCCTGGCTCAGAGTTTTCTCTCTGCTCCTCTCTCCAGCCTACCAGGGGAGACACTGTAGTATATTCAATTCCTGAAAGTACTTAATTGAAAGTGTCTCAGAATTAAGGGCCTGTCCCCTTAGAAATGTGTTTTATATAGTATAGGTTTCAGTCTCTTTGGGGTCATCCTTTGAATTTCAGTGCCTGGAGTTCTCTGTCTGATTAAGTCAACACTATACTATTGAGTGTGGCCGGCAGTGTGCATTAGGAAAGCTGGTTTGGAGAAATATTTATAGTGAAGCATAAAAAATAGTAAGGTAAGGAAAATGAAGTTAAAATGAGCCATTTCGCCTTGAAAGCAAAAGTTGGAGTGGGGAAAGTAGGACTGGTTGATTCCAGATGGACTGTGGGTCCTAGAACTGAAAAGCAAATTTGTACTTTGGATGAAGATCAGTCCTGAACAGCTGTTCGGTTATGTGTGGTATGGGACATCTGTCCTCCCAAGAGGAACCAAGGACTGCATGGCTCTCAAATATCTGTCTTACTAATAACTGAAGTATTTCCTACCATCGCCTTTCAGTTTCAGAGGAAATTCTAAAACCTTGTCTCCTTTAAGTATGGGCGTTTATGTACGAGAGCTGGGCTCTTGAGTAGCAGCATGAAGCACGCCAAGCAAGACTGCTGAACTGGGCTGCGTGAATGCTGAGTTTATGCAAGTCATGGGAACTGACTAAGAGTGAGTTTAGGGTCTTAGTAAAGCCATCAAGAATAGTAATATTTAGATATTGAGGTTTCCATCAGGCCAGAGATATGATAGAGGCATCAGATGAGCTCTCTTAGTCCCTAGACTTTTTATGAGTTTAGGATTCATGTTACCATTAATGTTGTTGTTATTAGGTGCCGTCGAGCCAGTTCCAACTCATACCAACCCTGTGTACAAGAGAACAAAACACTGCCTGGTCCTGCGCCATCCTCACAGTCGTTGCTATGTTTGAGCCCATTGTTGCAGCCACTGTGTCAGTCAATCTCATTGAGGGTCTTCCTCTTTTTTGCTGACCTTCTGCTTTACCAAGCATGAGGTCTTTCTCCAGGGACTGTTCCATCCTGATAATGTGCCCAGAGTATGTGAGATGAAGTCTCACCATCCTTGCTTCTGGCTGTACTTTCTCCAAGACAGATTTATTCATTCTTCTGGCAGTCCATGGTATATTCAGTATTCTTCACCAACACCATAATTCAAAGGCATCAATTCTTCAGTCTTCCTTATTCACTGTCCAGTGTTCACATGCATGTGAGGTGATTGAGAATACCATGGCTTGGTCAGGCGCATCTTAGCCATCAAAGTGATGTATTTGCTTTCTAACATTTTAAAGAGGTCTTTTGCAGCAGGTTTGCCCAACGCAATGTGTCATTTGATTTTTTGACTGCTGCTTCCATGGGCGTTGATTGTGGATCCAAGTACAATGAAATCCTTGACTTCAGTCTTTTCTCCATTTATCATGATGTTGCTTATTGGTCTAGTTGTGAAGATTTTTGTTTTCTTTATGTTGAGGTGTAATCCATACCGAAGGCTGTAGTCTTTGATCTTCATTAAGTGCTTCAAGCCCTCTTCACTTCAGCAAGCAGGGTTGTGTCATCTGCATATTGCACGTTGTTAACAAGTCTCCCTCCAATCCTGATGCCTCGTTCTTCGTATAGTCCTGCTTCTCAGTTTATTTGCTCAGCATAAAGATTGAATAAGTATGGTGAAAGGATACAACCCTGAAGCACACCTTTCCTGACTTTAAACCACACAGTATCCCCTTATACTATTTGAACAACTGCCAAGAGGTCTATATATAAATTCTTCATGAACACAATTAAGTGTTCTGGAATTCCCATTTTTTGCAACGTTATCGATAATTTGTTACAATTCACACAGTCGAATGCCTTTGCACAGTGAATAAAACTCAGGTAAACATCTTTCTGGTAGTCTGCTTTCAGCTAGGTTCCATCTGACATCAGCAGTGATATCCCTCATTCCATGTCCTCTTCTGAATCCGGCTTGAATTTTTGGCAGTTCCCTGTCTATGTATTGCTGCAGCTGTTTTTAAATTATCAAAATTTTACTTGTGTGTGACGTTAATGATATTGTTCGATAATTTCCGCATTCGGTTGTTCCACCTTTCTTTGGAATGGGCACAAGTATGGATCTCTTCCAGTCGGTTAGCCAGGTAGCTGTCTTCCAGATTTCTTGGCATGGATGAGGGAGCGCTTCTGGCGTT